GCTGCCACTGCCATGCTGGGGGGACACACAGCTGTGGGGGAGTTGGCACACAGCTGAAGGGGGCACTGTGAAGACTCCAGAGTCATTGTCAAGCTGGAAATGTACCAAGGACGCTGCTGGCCCACCCACCTGGGCCAGGGCTGCCTAGCAGGCACAGGCTGTGGCCAATGAGGCTCCCAAGGCCACCTGAGAGCCCTGGGAACCTCCACCTCTGCGCCCAGTGCTTTGGGGTCATCAGCACCCTCATCGGGAACGACCATCAGATCAGCTCACCGACAGCCCATGAAGGCAGGCAGCCCCCACCATGCAGACGGGGAAGTTCATCCAAGCCGCCCACCCCCTACCCCCGCTGGCAGAGACCCCTCAGGACAGGCTGCCCTGTCCTCCCTCGCACCTTCCTTGCTGTCCTCAGCCTTGAGCAGGAACATATCCGAGTGTAAGGTGCCCTTGTCCACGTCCTTCTTGACTCTCTGCAAGGCAAGGAGCGGGCCCGTGGGTGCCTGCACCTGCGGGTGCGTGCGCAGCCTTTCCCGTCAGCTCTCATGGCTAACAAGCTCCCCTGGAGCTGGCCTAGGCAAAGTGGGGCAAGGCAGTCACACTGCCAGGGGTGCCCTTTTGCCCTTTCTTGTCCCTTCAACTGCCCTGGCCACCTGTCCTCATGGGGCTCTGGCAGCCCCCAAGGCCACCTGCCCCCCAGCTCTGCCCTGCAGACATCACGTGGCCAGACTGTTCTTGGACTGGGTGCATGGTGGGGGTGGGGCACCAGTGACAAGCACAGGGCTCCCGGAGGACACGGCCTGTGGGCAGCAGTCAGGTCCGTTCACGCCAGTCTCTCCAGCCTCTGCGCAGAGGGGAAGTGGCGGACTCCAGGATTAACATCCTTCAAGGACCTCGCCCCCCCCACCCCCCCCTACTCGGTCTGCCCCACACCCGGGGCTGGGGCCCAAAGGGTGACAGAAAACTAGGGCCGAGTGTGAGAAGGATGGCCTTCCAGGGTTCTGACCTCCCCCAGAGCCGGCCTGGAGTTCCTGGAGGGACATGGGCTCAACACCAGCAGCACTCGAGTGTGTGTGTGTGTGTGTGTACACGGGCTCAACACCAGCAGCACTCGAGTGTGTGTGTGTGTGTGTGTACACGGGCTCAACACCAGCAGCACTCGAGTGTGTGTGTGTGTGTGTGTGTGTATGTGTGTGTGTACACGGGCTCAACACCAGCAGTACTCGAGTGTGACGCAAGGGAGGGGTGTGTGTCTGTGTGTGTGTGTGTGTAGGAAGCAGACTGGAGACTGAGCCCCCACCTGTTTAGAGTAGCCCCCATAGATGGCGACACCCTGGGGGGTGACGGACATCATGCAGCCGGACCTTGGTGAGGGCCCCAGCCCTGAGGGAGACAGCTTGGTCCAGGTGAGGGTGTCCAGGTGGAAGGCGTACACGTCGTTGTAATAGATGTAGTCCCTGGTAAGGACACACAGGCGCCAAATTAGGACAGACAGGCCTGTCTGCTGGATCACAAAAAAGGTCCATGCGGCTGTTCTGGCCCGCTGACACTGTCGGGGCTGTGGACATGGGAAACGAGGCAGGAGGCCGGCCCCACGATCACTGGGCAGTGCCCGGGGTGGCAGTGGGAGCAGGCCCAGTGGGCGGGAGGGTCAGAGACACTGATGGAGAGTGGGAGGCCTGGTGGTAGCACCTTCTGGTGACACAGTGCATCCCTGAACCACAGGCAATGGCGCAGGCGATCTGGATGTGAGCGTGGGGAGGACACAGTCCAGGGCCCGAGCCCCACGAGAGGAGGAGCTGGGCTCTGAAGGGAGACACCCGCAAGCGTGGGAAGCCGAAGACACTTTCTGGTCTCACTGCGCTCCAGCCTCCTGACGCAGGGCTCCGCCGAGGCCACGTGGGGTGTCAGGGCCACACACTACACAGGGCCCCCAGCACCAGGGCCTCGTCCTCCTGGGGAACCGGGTTCCCTCTGTGGAGGTTGGACTTCCACCATGCCACGTGGCCTCGGGGTCCCACCGCGCATGTAATCGGGGTCAAACTGACCTGCCGTGGCCACACGGGTGGGGGGGGGGGGCAACGTCATTTGTCTGGGTAAAGAAGTTTCAGATGTTGCACCGAGCTCTGGAAGGACAGCCGCTGGGGAAGGCGTCCCACGCTGAAGTGGCTGCAAGCGCCAGTGTGGAACCCATCCCCTAGAGCCGTGAGCTCACAGGGCCCCGGCAGCCCCGCCCCGTGCTAACACCCACCTCGTGCTCTCGTGGAAGCCACCGAACAGGATCAGCTGTCTCTTCCAGGCCACCATGCGGTGTCCGCTCCGGCCTGAGGGGCCTCCTGCAGATCTAAGCACACGCCAGGTCACAGACAGAGTGCACCTGTCCACCCGGGTCTCTCACACGCATGCACATGTGCATGGAGGGCCACTCGGCCTGCCGTCTGGTCTTGCACCAAACTCTCTGGTTCCCAGCCAGAGTCTGGCTGCGCCCCAGCCCACATTCCACGCAGTCGCCCAGGTTCCCTGAAACACACGCCAACGGCTGCAAAGAAAGGCTGCTGGTCAGCTGGAGGGAAAGAAAAAGAACGACCGCTGGTCAGCTGGAGGGGAAGAAAAAAAGACCGCTGGTCAGCTGGAGGGGAAGAAAGAACGACCGCTGGTCAGCTGGAGGGGAAGAGAGAACGACGGCGGGTCAGCTGGAGGGGAAGA